TACGAGATAAAAGTTTAGTTAAAAAAAATACTTAACCTCTATTTATAAACCTGTAAAAAATGTATCAGGATTTCTGGGTTGTATAGATATATTATACAAATCATTTATATCTATCAGCTATTTGTTGATTTTTTTTAAAATTTCTTACATAACTTATTATTTTCTAACACCAACTAACAATAATTTGAATTTCATATTTTGTTCTATATAATCAAATTATCAATATTTGTTTTTCTTACGTTTTATAAATCTATCCAATTTCAAATCAAACTCTCCAATATAACAAAATATAATCAACAAACAATCTCTTATATATTAAAAGAGAAGCATTTTTAAAGAATAACCTTATTTGTGTAAGTATAGACAGTGGTGTCATTATGCTGATGTGTCAACTCCACATTTATTCTCAGCTATTTTTCTATAAAAGGCATAGATTGCTAAAATAATTACATAATATGTCATTATATATTTTAGGTCCATAATAATGTTATGTTTCATTTAAATGAATTCAAAATTAGTAATGTATGTTTTAATAATTTAATATACCAAAAAATAACAAAATATTTATCCAAAGAACACTTTCTAAATTTTATCTAAGAAATCAACATTTGAGATCAGAAATAAGATGTAACGAGGCGATTCTACGAGATAAGAGTTTAGTTAAAAAAAATACTTAACCTCTATTTATAAACCTGTAAAAAATGTATCAGGATTTCTGGATTGTATAGATATATTATACAAATCATTTATATCTATCAGCTATTTGTTGATTTTTTTTAAAATTTCTTACATAACTTATTATTTTCTAACACCAACTAACAATAATTTGAATTTCATATTTTGTTCTATATAATCAAATTATCAATATTTGTTTTTCTTACGTTTTATAAATCTATCCAATTTCAAATCAAACTCTCCAATATAACAAAATATAATCAACAAACAATCTCTTATATATTAAAAGAGAAGCATTTTTAAAGAATAACTTTATTTGTGTAAGTATAGACAGTGGTGCCATTATGCTGATGTGTCAACTCCACATTCATAAAGAAAATCTACCTTGATATTTAGGCTAATATTTTTGAAAATTAGCATAAAAAATTAACTAAAAAAGCAAATGATGGTATAAGCTTTTGAGAGAAGTCCACATAAAAATTAGAATACATAGTTATAGTATGTCAAAATAGCATTATAATTAAAATAAAAATAATGTAAGAAACAAATTTAACAAAGAAAAAATATTTATGTAATAGAGATTAAATTGATATATGCTACATATTTGGAAAATCAATAACAAAAGAGATTAATTAAAATAAAATATAAAATTACCATTGAAAAATATGTAAAATAACAAAAAACAAAATATAAGAAGAAAATTAGTTTGAAATTTAGTTCTAGAAAATTCATGATTTCTAAAATATTGGTATTGACTATGAATAATCATATAAAATTACAGTAGGTTTTACAAGTTTCTAAATCAAATATATTATTTAAATTTATAATGACTAATACATTGGCTGCGTCTGGTTTAAAAACTAACCAAAAAATACTACATAAGTAATTTTACATTCAAAAATAGAACAACTAATTTATACATATTTACTAATTATAACTTAGCCAACATGAACAACACATGAGTAACATCTTCTAAAATTTCCTTTCGATAATAAAGTATGACGGAGTTATGAATCAACTTCAAATTAGATTATACCTAGATAAACTATTCAAATCAAAACATGAATAAACCATACAAAAGATAAAAACAGTAATAATGTAAAGACTCCACACCATCTTACATGTTTTAAAACAAAAACAATCAAATAGTTGACTGCAAAAAACAGATCTTATAAACTAAATAAAGATATAACCTAAAATTCATAGAAGATCTGGTTGAGAAGCAAAAACCAGCTTTACATGATTATTGTAGCATCTTAACAAAAGTAAATCTGAATCAAAATGAGTCATATATTATATATTCATAGGTACACAACATCAGCGAGACATTTAATAAAAAACTAGATATTTGAACACATAAACCTTAAAAAAAAGAACTATAAAAATTTTAAGGACACAAAACAAAACACCAAAAAATTAATAAGGAAATTATTCTCTAAATCAAATGTATGCACATCGAAGTTGGATAATTTGTAAGATGTTATTACTATGATTTAACCTAATAAGATTTATATTAAAAAATATTTAAAACTATATATTATGTTTTAATTTTTTTATATAAAAAATTCTATAAATATATATTATAGTTTTGATAATTATAAAAATATTAACTAAAAAGAATAAAACTAAATTATTAGTGCAGAGCGCGAGTTAAAAACCTAATAATATATAAAAGTTGATGGCATAATACATTGAGGGTGTCCGCATGAGATAAAAAATTTAATCTGATTGGTCCACATCAGCATATTCATTAAATAAAAAAATAGTACGTATGATTAGGACAGAAAAACTTGATTTAATTGGTCCACATCAGCTTTTATATCAAACCAAAAATTATTAAGTATAATTAAAATATTAAAAGTTAATTTAACAAATTATGTCCAACAAAAAAAGTAAATTCAATATGAATGATCCAAATTAACATATTTATTAAATCAGAAAATGTTAATATGCTTTAAAAATTTAAAACTTAAATAAAAAAGTAACAATTAACAATACATGTATTTAAAAAAGTAACCATTATCAATTATCAATTATCAATTTAAAAAAATCTACAACAACTCGATTTAACAATTAAAATAATGAAAACTTAATAAAACTATAATAAAAAACTCTTGGAAGACATGATAGAGAAGAAAAAAATGGTTTTGCATGATCATTACAGCTTTCTAACAGAATTAAATGCGAATCAACATGAATCATGGATCATATATACAGTGGTACACAACATCAATAAGACTTTCAATAAAAAACTAAATATTTGAACACATAAATCTTCAAGAAAAAAGAACTATAGATATTCTATGGAAAACAGAAAATAATACCAAAATCTTAGCAAGATTATATTTCTCTAAATTAAATGTATATGTACGTTAAAGTTGGATAATTCGATAGGTGTCATTGTTATTATTTTACATAATAGTTTTTAAAAATTTATAGATAAAAATAGGATAAATTACACATTATATATAAAATTCTCTTATATAAATGAAAATTTCTATAAATATATATAATTTTTAATAATTTTAAAGATAGTAACTAAAAAAATAAACCAAAATATTAATACAGACTCGTGCGTAGCGCGAGTTATATACCTAGTATGTTATTAAAAATATATATTATTTTCATCACAAATATCAATTAAAAGAAAAAAAGTCATAATGACGAATTTCCAAAATTATTATGATATATATTATTAATATACAGATTAACTATATAAGGAAATATGATATATTGCAGTATGATTTAATTTATATATAACTCTTAGATGACAAATATGGTATATAGCATTATTGTTTACTTATTTTTGGTAAGATAGTACCAATATTAATTGTTTATTTTTTAATTAATGTTTGATTTATCATATACAGTATCAAATTTTCAGCAAGATTTGTTCATGTTTTTTTTCTCTTAGTTTGTCGGTTTTAAATCAATCAATTTACTTACTGATTTTTTTTTATAAATTAGTAATATTGTGATTTCAATATTATATTAATTTATAGAATTATAAATTTATCGGTTTGGAATTAAATAAATTATTTATTAATAATTAATTAAAAATTATATTTGCTTTAAAAGTTAATGATATCTTTAAATATTTCACTCTTAAATTATAGATCAACCATAACATTATTTTAATTTTAAGAAAAACAAACCATTATATATCTATATTTTAGTAAATTATCATAGTTTATATATTTATATAAAATTATTTTATGATAATTATTAATTTATGATATTAATGGAACCATATATTTATATAGATTTTCCTAAATAAATATTATCTTATCGATTTGTATCATATTTTGAACAAGTCTAATTTGGGACCAGGAAAATTTATTAAATTATTTAACTAATAATATATAATAGATAAGTAACAAACTATTTAACTAATAATATTTAATTATTTAAGAGTCAAAAATAATTAAATATGTAGATAAATATTGTATACCCAAATCTTGAACATTGGTGAAAATAATGAATCATATCATCAATTACAGAATATAAAAAATTTGTATGATAACTTTGTATTTTTACCAGTTATATCATGTGTTATACATGCTACTTAATTTTTAAATTAATTTACATTATAATTAAATTATCTTATATTTCATTAAAAAAACTAGATTGCTAATGTTATAGTATAATAATATATAATAGTTTTAAAATTACACTAAATCTAAATAAATAATAATTATTTCACTCTGCACAGGGTGCGGTTATTACTTAGTATAATAATTATAAATATAAAACTACTAACTTAAAACAAATATCACACACAAACGAAACCAAAATACCATTCTTAATATATAATGTTCTCATTCTAATAAACAATTAAATCATACAACAACCATACCCAATCAATATATTAATACTAACGATAAGAAAAAAAAATAAACTTTTAAATAAAATTTAAATTTATTAAATTTTAAAAAAATTTATCTTGCATGTAGAACGAGATAAATTCTAGTTTATAATAAATCATGTTATATAGAATTTGATACTCAAACCTACTGATGTAAAAACATTAATAAACTCTTGATAAACCATTGGGCTAAAGTGGGGCTTCCCTGGTTTATGCAACTATAATTGTGACTGATGAATTGATATCTTAACGAACGAATTTTAACTTCGATAGAAGAAAAATCCAAATAACAAATTGCAATTGTAGGCAACTTAAGACATCACAGTTACCGCAAAGGATATTAAGCAGCAATTGACTGCACTAATTCAAGATTCAAGAATCAACATTCAAGAATCAAGAACCTTTCGCAAATTTTAGAAACTCTACTCTCTATTTTAAACTTAGAACTTAGTAGACATCACTAGGCACCATTCCTTGGACAGAATCCCATCGCTTGTTTCAGGTTGTGAACTGTGACTTCGGCTATTTCCGTGGCTCTGTCTGCACCTTCTGACAATACTTTGTCCAAATACTCTGACTCCGCCGTTATCTCCTGATAACGTAGCTGCATACAAAAACATCCGCAAATGAAAATGACTATCAAACCGCGCAAAAAAAAACACCTCAGATTTTTCATTTTATGATATGATGAGATGAAATGGTACAAACTTGAAGAAAGTTACTGGATTGAGTTAAAAAGTTTTGAACTTCTCAGACCTGGATTGGACTCAGATGCTCGATCACAGCATCTGCAAGGAGAGGCTTAAACGTGCCCCAGCTCATATCTTTGCATTCCTCCATCACTTCCTGAAAACCGCTTCGAAATATGTTCACCGGATTAATAGGCTATATCACTTCTTGCCTTGTGTCACATCTTAAGTGATCACTATGACCAAAAGAGTAAGTAACATGAGGCCTTAATCTTTATATTTCTTTCTTCATACCTCTTTTGTCTTGCCAGAAACAATCTGATATACAGAGAGGAGATTGTTGCATTCAGGTCTCTCGGCATTGTCAAATTCAAGGCTGTTGGAACAACAGGAAGAAACAGGAACTTTTCAATGTAGTTGTCTCAATTCTAAAGCAAAAATAGTAACAACAAAGAGAAAAACAAACTTGTGCAATCAACTCACCCTGCTAATGAGTCTGTCTTGCACCGTTTTATTTTGCCCGCAATCAACTACACAATTTTCCAGAGGGATATGAAAAGGATTTAGTAGCAGACGAACTTCACATAGAATGATATTTCAAAAGCATTACAAACAACAGCGAGTTCATTATACTTACATCTTTTGAGTCAAGGAGATTGATTCGGGACTGGTCAGAAGGTGCAGACTTGGACATCTACAAGATTACATGACAGTAAGACCTCAGCAACAAGTAAGAAATTTCCTCTGAATTATCTCACGATAGCAATAGGCACCACATTTAGGGAGGCAAGTCTCAGAAGTGTGAAACCCTTGCAACTTAACTATAAACAAACAAACAGACTAATCTAAATCCTTACAACTTAGATAGCAGCAAAAGTGAATGCAGAAAGAATATAAATGACAGCAAAAACGTTAAAAGATGTAAATGAAAACATTCTACCTTGGAAAGACCATCTGTAAGAGACATAACTCTGGCTCCAACTTGTGGTATGAGTGGTTCTGGTATCTACAAATAGGACAAATTTGAAAAGCGATTAAAAATCTGCGATAAAACTACAAAGCCACACAATGAGGATACAAAGCATTTGGAAAGTCTCACCTTAAAGATCGAACCACCACGCCTGGAAATGAAAATCGCCAATGTTATACAAACGAAGGGATAATTAAGCCATTAAGAGACATGAATAGCATAGATCAAAACACTTGTTTGAACGGTATTCTTAATATACTAAATGCACAAAGTAAGATTTCTATACCCTCCAAGCTTCTTCCACTTCCTTCCACCATATAAATTATTCACACGCTGTGCCAGGTCGCGGGCAAGTTCTAGGTGCTGCTTCTGGTCCTCACCGACAGGTACAAAATCCGACTGCAGAGGCATGTTGCAAAGTATAAGAACAAATAAAGTTTGTTAATTTAACGAAACGGTCATCTTACATGCAATAAGCAGTTACTACATGCACTTTCTTAGGAGGACAAATAAAGTTTGTTAATTTATTTGTGTTCCTTCGTCATTACACTTAATTCAAATGACACTTGACTTTATTAAAGCGTCACCTGATACAAGAGGATATCCGAAGCCATCAGAACTGGATAAGTTAACAAAGAGACAGAAGCATTCTCACCCCCCTGCCAAGAAAAAGGACCAAAATCGAATCAGTAAACAGAATCCTGTATGTATACAATCACATAATATATTATGCAGCAGAATGACTAAGTTTACTAGGCTGTTCTGATGCCCAATACATTTTAAGATTGTAACACCAAGATATACACAATAAACCTCAAAAATGTTATGCCTTTTACTAACACCAAAGTGGGATTTGATATATAGGCAAATCTCCCTTATATGTATGTGATACAACATGAGAATACAAAACATATACGCACCTCCTTGCGTGATTTCTCTTTGAACTGTGTCATTTTCTGTAGCCAACCAATAGGTGTGGATGAACTCAAAAGCCACATTAACTCCACATGAGCGAGAACATGAGATTGCACAAATACCGAAGCCTACAAGATCGCTCTTACACTGGTTATTGCAGATCACATGCGACTGCTTTCGCATTAAGAGTTAAAATCGAAAACCAACCTTAGAAATATCTACACCACATGCTAGATAGAGCGCTGCGGTATCCCTAGTTGCCTTTCTTAGTTCTTGCGTGTCATATGGTAGTGTTATCTACATAGGTCATGATAGATTATATAAATACTGCGAGAGAAACACTAGGAAATGTTACCTAAATTAACTTTTTGAAAGGTAGATGATACATACCGCATGAAGGTCTACGATAAAAAAGAGCGTTTCGTATGTATCCTGCAGACATATAAACACAGAAAGCCTGTAACAAAAGAGAGATAAATACTGTGGCAACCAGAAAAGATAAACCCTTTCTCTTAAAGCCTTGAACTTTACAACAAAACCTTCTTAAAATTGATGAAATTTTAGGAAAATACTAATGCTTATAGACTGACTATATAATATCAGCATACATAATAAGAGAAAATGTAATGGTGAAAGTGGACAAATCGATAAAAATAAGATGCATTAACATACGTTAAAGAATAGGAAAACAAAAATGATTCATTTTCTTAAAGCCTTGAACTTTACAACAAACCATATAAACTGATGACTATCGTAAATGTCTCATGCTTTACATTAGACAATCTAGAGAAGATACGCAAATTTTGAATCAACCAGAACAAATAAACTGAATAATTTTCTTAAAGCCTTGAACTTTACAACAAATCATCTAAAAGTAATGACTTTTGTAAATGTATCCAAATTAAAGAAGATAGGCAGATTCTGTATCAACCAGGAAAAATAAACTGAATCCTTTGATTAAAGCCTTGAACTTTACAAACAAACAATCTAAAAGTGATGACCTCTCTAAATGTGTCTCATGCTAACATTTGAACCAGCTAAAGAAGATGCATACATTAGGATCTCAAAAAGATCACTAAGAGATTGAGAAACACAACGAACCTGAAGAGCGACCCAATTTTTGATTGCGCCGAGATAGTTTCCAAGGTGAATTGATCCTGTAGGCTGGACTCCAGAGACCACACGTTTCCTGAAATCAGAAGAATCAACCAAAATGGAATAAAAAAATGCAACTAACAAAGCAGCCAAAGACAACAACTTTACCTTACAGAAGGAGAAGTCTCGTCGGAGCAAAAGCATCGGAATCTTTCTCCGGTGACTAACGCAGAAAGAGGGTTTGGGTTTCTGAGAAATCTGGTGCTATAACCGAGACGAGAGAACCTGAAGAAGCAGCATAATCAAAATGGAATCGATGTGCATTTTGAAGAGGAGGCGAGTAAGAGAGAAGAGTGAGGGTAAGTAACCTGGAGGAAGAGAGGATTAGGGAGTGAGAGAGAGTCGCGTGCGCCATTCTTGTCTTCTCTGAGTTTTTTTCACTTTTGGTGAAATTGTTTAAGAATTTAAAGGGTTCTGGGGGTCAACAGACTCCAACCACAATGGCAGGGCAACCTCTCCAAGCAAAATCCTAATTTTTAGTGAAACTAGATGATTGAGTAGAGGCGGATTTACATTTTATTATATATTTTGAAATTTACGATTAATATAATATTTTATTTTAAATATATTGATGATATAATTTTGAACTTTTTGAATTGATCCAGTTATATTTTTAGATTTTTTCAAAAATTTTGAGTTTACAAAAACATGAGAGATTTTAAGTTTATCATGTATATGCCTCCTGAACTGCATATATATGTTGAAAATGTACTGTATTGCTAATACAATAATAAAACCTATTTGTTTGTTAAGTGTTTTTCTAATATACCTGATCGGATTTATGCTCTTTATGAATATGTTTGCTTTTGATATTTTTAGAGTAATTGAAGTCGTTTTGCGTGAATCATATATATAATTAGGGAAAACTCTCCCAGTTGAGTTATCCACATCAGCAATTTATTTTTAGGTTTTATGGATTTTTAATTTTCTAATTGTTATAAGTTTTTATTTTGTATATAAATACTTTATAAACCAGAAAATATAAATTATCTAATTTTTATATTCAAATGGGCTTTTACTTACATATTTCTTGGATACTCATATGACATAATTTAAAAGTTAAAAAATAAACACTTATTTTACAAGCCACAAAAATATAAAGTATCTACAAATAAAAATTTTAGAATGTTATTTCGAATAAGAAATAAAGAAATTTTTGAATAAAAGAGTTTTTTAAAAATTAACACATCACAATTTATATTTAAAAAAAAATTAACAATAGCTCTAAATATTTTTAGGTTAATTAATTAGCTAAAACAGCATTTTTTCCAGGCTAAAACAGTATTTAAAATTAAAAATGAACAGAATAAATATTAAATAGATAAACATAATAGTAATTTAAAAATATGATTTCAGTTAAGAAATAAAGAGATTTGGTGGGATTGATAATGAATTTTTTCTGTTGATCTTGTTCAAAATAAGTGACCTAAAAAAAACTAATCAAATAAAAATATTTAGTAAGAAAATATAGGTATATTCGATAACGTATAAGTATGAAAGTAAATTTTAAACATTTTACATATTACAATTTCTATTTAAAAAAAACAACTTCACAATAGATCTACATATATTAGGATAATAAAAAAACTAAAAAAAATATTTAAAATTGAAAAATAGAACAGAAAATTATTAAAAAAGTAAACATAATAGTAATATAAATATATATAATTATAAATTAAAAAAATTGGATAAACAAAATAGCTTCACAAATTTCACTCGAAATATAAATTAAGAGTACTATTTCAAATAAGAAGGAAAACGAGTGAGGGTGAATAAACTTTGTAGATCTCACTATAAATAATTTAAAAAATAAAAGAAAAGCTAATTAAATAGAGATATTCAATGAAAAAATATAAATATTTATAACATCTTATAAGTATAAGAAAAATATTTCTTATCATTTAACACATTACAATTTTATTAGCAAAAAACTTTACAATAATCTCATATACTTTAAAATAATGAAAAAACGAAAGTAACATTTTTAATTTCAAGAAAAAAAAATATAATACAAAATAAAATAATAAATAAACATAATGATAATATAAATATATAAAATTAAAAATTTAATTTACGAATAACTCCACGCAACGTGTGGGTTAGTTTCTAGTCTATATAACATTGTTTTTACATGTTCTAACATATCTTTATTTGAAAGATTTTGGTGTTGTCCCAATGTTTATTATAAAAAGAACATTTGATTATAGATAAAAATATCTTTATTTTTCGACTACAGAAAATAACATATTATTTAAAAACAGTATTTTTAGTACTTGTATCTTACATATTTACTCAAATCGTTTTCCTCGAGAGCTGTAAATTTCATAAAATAACATATATAAATTTTTAATATACGTTTATACTAAAAGAAGAAGATAAAAAGAAAAATATAGCAATCCCACTTCATCGATGTTACTTTTAAGATGAAATGATGTTATGTATTGTTAGAGGAGAAATGAGCATATTTCTTAAAAGGCATTCCCCGCAATAACGAGCGAAAGGCTGAAATGCTATTTTAGAAAAAAAATTGATATGTTGTGCCATTCTTTAATATAATGTCACTTATTCCTTTAATTGACATATGAAATTACAATTTTATCTTTGGTAAAAATAACTGAGTAAATTAGTAAATTAATAAAAATAAAATATTTAAAATTAAAATCTGGAAAATATAAACCAGAAAAAAAAAATTCTGTATCTTCTTCCACCCCCCTCCCCCACCCCGCTGCCGCCGCGAGCTCCTCCGCTCCTCCTCCTCCTCTCCACCCGCCAAGCTCTCTTCTGGTCCTCCCATCGACATCCTCTTCGACTATTTCTCCTCTTCTGCAATTATTTTCCTCTTTCCTCTTCTGCCATTGTTCAATGTACCATTTTTAAGGTGAATTATTTTTTTTAATTAGAGATATTTTGTAAAATTAGGGATTTGAATTTGAAAAATTAGGAATCCGGGTTGGTAACTATGTATTCTGGATTGATTAAGCCTTAGGTTCAGTAATTTGTGAGAAGAACGTGGTTGTGTGAATCAGATTCGTATGTAGAACCCGAGCTCAAAATTCCTCGAGTTATGATAGGAGAAATGGTACAACTGGTACAACTGGTATAACTGATAGCGAAATGGTACAACTAAGAGATTGAGTTCAACTGGTACAACTAAAAACTTAAGTTCAACTAAGAGATTTAGTTCAACTGGTACAGCTGAGACAATTAGTTCAACTGGTGCAACTATGGTACTTTGTGTAATTACTGATCAATTATTATCATTATATTTCAGGAGAGCATGAGCATCAACCACACAAACATACATTTAAACTATGAAAGGAGTTATTCATGTGATGGAGGGGAGTTGAAATGGTTTACAAGTAATTCCACCTATGTTATACCATTTAAGAACTTATCATTGAAGGAGATAACTTACTTGGCGCTAGTAGACAAGATATGCAGGAAGATATGGTTAACAAAGCTGCACATAAAAAATATTTTGGGGTCCATACTTATAGTTCAGATACAGGTGACTTATTATAGAATGACGTCAGAAGAGTCAAGGTTGTAAATGGTATTTACAAGCTGCAAGGTTTAAGAAATCAGATAATTTCAGTGTTAGAGTATACAAAAAGATGCATATATGCTCTCGGGTCATTAAGAGTACAAACATTAGTAGAAGGAGAGGCACCCCACGATTGATAGCATCTATTTTACAGTGCAGTTTGATATTTGTGTGTATGTGTTTTGTAATTCTCGGTTTTTTACAATTGATACACAAAGTTTTTGAGGCTCTTGAATGTTTCAATCACCCTTACACTTGTACTAGTCAGTTGTAGTATAGTATGGGTTTTATGTCAATCCAATGGGAGGAGTTGAAAACAGAAGAGTTGAGAGTAAAATCTCTAAGTCAAGCAAGCAGAGAATTGGTTTTGTTGCCTAAGCAACAGTTCTAGCAACCTAAGTGAAACAAGCAACAAAAGAAGTGAAAACAAAGGCAATCTAAGCAGTTCTAAGTAAGAAAAACAGAGCAAAACAGAGCAAATCCGAGATTCAAATAAGAGAAAGACAAGTCTCTAGATGTGGTTATTGACTTTGGGGAATTTCAGGCATTAACTAAGGCTGTTTCAAACTACATTGAACAAGCAAGCAAGCAAGCAATGGTGATTCCTAGACATAGAGTTCACACTTAAGCTAGTTAGATCCAATCTCTTGGCAAATAACCCTTTGCTAAACATTCTAACAAGAACTAACTCTCATTAGTACTAAAACATCAAACAAGCATGATTAAACAACTCTATTCAAGTCAAAATGCTCCTCAAACAGTCAATCTCTTGAGCCAAGGCCAGCAAATCCTATATTAAACATGATCAGCATTTCATCAAACACTTGGTGGGCATAAGAGAAAGCTAACAACTTAGACAAGTTTGATCAAGACTAATCTAGCATGAATAACAGATTAATAGAGAGGAACTCATAGAATGAAGAACATAACAAGCCTTAATCAAGCCTTAAATTCCCCTAATCTACCACATCTAGAAACCCTAAGATAACTACTCACTCATAATCATGTTTAACACCAAATCACAAAGAGAAAGGATGCTAATCATGATTAAAGGAAAGATTAAAGAAAGATTAAAGCAAATACTTGATTATATTAAACAAAGCAAATAAATTGTCTTACAAACTTAAAAGAAAAGCTCAAGAACAGTATTTTGACATGACTTGCCGAAAATCTGGAAAAGAGGCTATTTATAGCCTAGAAAGAAAAACCCTAGAGTAATGGCAAAGTTGTAATTAAAAACAGGTTCGGGCTGGGTCAGTATCGGTCAGTCGTGTCGATCTCCAGTGACCGAAATGGGTCCCTATCGGTCTTCAGTGATCGACACAAATGACCGAAATTAATCCGATGTATTTGTGTCGATCACACTTGACCGATACTGGTGACCGAAATGCTCCGTATCAGTCACTCTTGACCGAAACTCTCCGTGCTTTGACCGAAAACTTCTGCAGAGATCTTCTGCTGCGATCCTTCTTGCTCTCTTTTGCCCAGCTAGCATCTTGCATCATTCTCAAAACTCCTCCAAGCTCCTTTAAGCTCCAAAAGCACCTAAAAACATCCAAAATGAAAAGAAAATGCAAACTATACTCTAAATGCAACCTAAGTCTAAAAGGAGCAGAAAATGGGACAAAAGCAAAGGGAAAACATGCAAAAAAGGATCAAAATATGTACTAAATGCAGCCCTAAATGGTGTAAATACAAGGGATATCAACAACCATGTTAGATTATGTACAACTATGAATCTTTATGTGTTTGAGTTTGACAAATTTGTATGACCAGGTTTAACTAGGTACAAGTATGAACAATTCTGAATT